TCGTCGTGGCGGTCCTGGTGGTCGTACTGATGGTCGCCGTGGACGCGTGCTCTATCCCACCTATCATTTCTTTCACATGCGTCTTTGCTTCTGGGCCCGCGAGGAGATGTCACCGGTCTAGCAAGTTCCTCATCGCCCGAGACTTGGGCCGTGCACATGCTGTACCAGGCGTCTCATTACTTCATGAGTGTTCAGCCTTTCACGCCTTTCAGACGAAGCTCGACTACATGATGCGACGGTGGGGTCGTATCTTGTCTTGACTCAGCATTTGCTGCTCAAGCGCTGCTCCCCGAGTCCTACCTCCCGTGACAGCCATGAAGCTGCTGACCTGGGCGCTCGCTGCTCTGGGAGTCGTCCAGCTGAGGGCTGCAGGACGGGCACCGTGAAGGGCCGTGCCTTCTTAATTTCTGGCGGCTGGTAGGCCAGTGCTTTGTGGGGCCTTCAAGACTCACGAGCTTTGTCGTCTCCCTCTCTTGTGCTCTTGTGAAGAGCCCGCCTGCAGGACATCAGCATCTGGCAGTTGTTCGCGTGTTCTCAACTGACGAGGAGGTCCAGTTGCTAGAGGAAAGTGGCCCAGCTTGGGGACAGACGAGTCCATGCGCTGTCAAATCGAACATGAGCGACATCGATCTCATTTTGGTTTACAGCAAGGACTTGGACTCGAACCCCGCGGCCCTCCAGGTCGTTATGGATCTGGAGAACGGCTTTCAAAAGTACATGAACATGCAGAACTACAACTCCTCGAACGTGACCAGTGGTACATCATACGACTGGATGAAGTGCTTCTCGGGTATCCACCACATGTCAGCCATGTTGAACCCAGAGCAAGACGTCTATGACAACCGAGGTTACACTACCAACAAGCATTGGGTCTCCGGTCCCAACGCCGTCTTTTCCAAGATCATGACCGAGATGTTCAGTGCCGAGCCTGCTGACATGTACGACACCTTCTTCCTGATGGAGATGGATGCCGTTCCCATCAAGAGCCATTGGCTCGACCAGTTCGAGACCGAGGCCCATGAGATGGCGGACAACAACATGGCCGTCCGCGGGAGCCAGTACCTGGGTGACAAGTGGGATCTCTTCAAATCGAT